GGTGTAATATCTCTTCTTTTTACAGCGAATACGTCGATTAATTCAGTGTCGTAATATCTGAACGACCGTCATACGTGTTTATACCACCTTTGACTTATGTAAAAATAAATATATAAAGTTTAATCGTAAACCGTGCGCGCGTTAAGTTGGTCGTCGAATGACATTTTCTCCTTTACACTAAAGAAAATATTTTCGCCGTAAAAACGCCGTTTATTCACAACGACTGATTTTCTAAATGCTTGTTGCTTATTTCGTCGAGTCTGACCCTTTGAAATCGTCTAGCCGTTTTGCCAATGATCAATAGTCCAAATTTGAAATCCGCTTGATCCAAAAATTCCCGCGACGTTACGTGCTGCTCTCGTAGTGGTAAGAACGCATGAATAATTCAGATTTTTCTCTTCGAATACGGTCTCGTTGCCGAGCAGGTTAAATCGAAGTAGTCATGCATCACTGTTACTCCCTATTCAGATATTCAATTGTCCCGTCGGAAGGGCGGAAAGGGATATCATATCGACGTAGCCGTGTCTGGCATCTCCTAGATTGCGGGATGCATGGCGAGACACGTAGCATCACATGTTCGAAAAACTTGGGAGACACGTCGGGAGAACGTGCGCGCACGAGCGTCCGTTCTCGAGTGTGACGCATGGAAAGCATACTCCGAAAGCTCATCATACGTCCGAGCGCATTGTTTGGGCAGATCGAGTGGTCAGGCGAGGTTATGTGAGTATGCGTGTAACGGCTGGCTGCTGTAACGTGTTACGGTCATTTGGGGAATGCCATAATGTCACGTGGCCAATTTGCGTCCCGGCTACGATTCGGGCGGGGCCCTGCGTCGCAACGCGAAAAGGTCAGCAGTCGATGCTTGCTACGTGTCGAAAGGATGCGTCGAATTAACCGACCGGAAATATCCAACAGATCGTTGGTCACGGACGCGAATGAAGATTGAAGAATCAAACTAGGCGAGATAATACCGAATTGTATTATTTGTCCATTGAATTAGGAAATGGACGGGTGTATTTCATTTTTGCTGAAAGATTAAGCTCGAATTTCCGGTTCCTCCAATGTTTATTCAGATTGTCTTATCGGCGACGATGAAGAAAATAACTCTCGATCGAGGCGTGATCGAAAGGGTCGAGATTGATTTATCAAAAGGGCGAAACTTCACGGCCCGATTACGAATTTGCAATCGCAGCTCATTGTACCGACGTACGTCATACACGCAAATACGCGATTAAATGCTGAGCGGGCAGCAACGCGTCGTTTGCGAAACAACGCGCGTTGCTCCGACTAGATAAGGTATTGTGTCGCGATTGCCATCACTTGACATAACGCACAGCAGTTGCCAGCCAATTTCGACTTAAGATGCACCGACGATGTATTTCGTTTCGTGCATAATGTCTGCTCGCGCTCTTCGCGTCCTTCGATTAAAGCTGAAACCGCCGAAATTTTCGGGCACAAAAATCTACGGTGATTTTTATTCAACAATGCAATTAGAAATCTCATTATCGATATATCGAGCGCCCTACAAATTGACGAGCGCGAACATGGATGAAGAAAAACGAATTTCAAACGCCTTCGAAAGCAGTTATTGCGCGCACAGTTTTCACGGCATCCCGTGTAGGTGGACGATACGCTCTCGAAACATTCCATTTTTTTGATAAACGATACTTCCGCACAGGAGTAACATTTTATTGGAGAACTGGGTATCGCATAGGAAACCGGGCGGCTTTTATTACAAACGAAAGGTTACTCGTTGATTGTTGTAACGTTAAACAGAATGGACGGTTATAGGAATAGGGCAGGCAGATAAGCGGCATAAGATACGAGTATTTCCTCTTTCGAATGAATTTAATTTGATATCAAGTGAACATTCGTCGAGGATCTCGCTTTTTATCGCTCTCTATCTCTCACAAACCTGCCGCGCAGGTTTCAATATCAAAAAATGGCTATCGCGAAAAAAGAGCAAAAATGTCAAGTGGATATCTATGAAGAGTCACTCTCAACCCTGCGTATTACGGAGAGCTTCTCTATTTAAAGTTGCTCTCAGAAATGTCAGATAAATATACGACGGCGGGGAATCAATATCAATCATGCGATCCCATCGCAAAAATTCACCATCAAGAGTCAGTCCAGGAAGATGAAAAATATTTCGAATGGTCGCTCAATTTCGCGTCTATTGGAGAATTTTAATGATGAGGGTATCTTTGAGGGACCACGAAAAGGGCGCGCTTCCTAATTACTGAAGCGTCAAATTAAATAAGCGCACGGTTTAAGTGGCGGCAGATACGAATTTTTCTCCGTTTCGGGCGTAATTAATTCAATGAAGCGATAAAAATATAGAGGTAGAGGTGGGTATTCGTCGGTACAGCTTGATTAGATGCTACCTCAACATTCCCTACCGAGGATTATTCTCGGATAATAAGATTCTCAAGTGGGTATTTCTCGACATTTGCTGACAATTTTCTATGTTATCAAGAATAAATTAAAAGAATATATATATATATATATATATATATATATATATAATTATAAGGGTATATATCGAGCGAAACATCGATATCACTTATATTGGAAGAAACATCTGATTTATGTCGCTCAGGAGCTTAGAAGCGAAAGTGTTATAAGTTAAATACAAAGCAACGTATTTCGTATCTCTTTTCATCTTTGATCTCTTATTAAAGGGAAGAGAAGAACATCCTATGATGTATCTCACGAGAAACTTTTTCTACTATAATAAATTATTTTCATATACAAAAATACGGGTAGATGCCAAAGTTGCGTATGATGAATACCAGATTCTGCCGCATTATGAGAGTTGTAACTTAGAACGATAAAAATACCGACTCCGCTTTCGCTTTCAAACCCTCGTATATTTCTTTTCGCCCGCGGCAGCCCACAATTCCGCGGTGCTGCCCTTTTCTTATTTAATCCTATCACGGTGAAAACCCGTCACGTCAGTCTTGCAATTTATCATGTCCGCCAGGAGAGTGTTTCTTATTCGCATCATACCGACGAAGCCTCAACTACTTAGTTCGGCTAAATATAAAAAAAACGCCCGACCTCTCGTCATCAATATCAGGTCGTCTGCGATGAGCGCGATCCGGAAACGGCTCCGAAAGCGCGATCGTTAATTAATACGGTAAGACCATACCCGAATCGTTAATTAAAGCGATACAAATCGATGTCGCCGTAATATATGAAGCCACCCCGATATTTGTATGAAATGAATCCTCGTGCTGCAATCTGATGTACGTATCATGCGTCGATTGCGTTGCAAAGTAATTAGATATCGGGCATAATTGCGCGACATTCGTAGGACACGATATATCCGCGTGACATCGATATGTATAAAGTATAATTAAATATAGAACATTATATGACACATTTGTGCAATAAACGATATCAGGATATGCGAGCAACAACAGCTTTCAGCGTTTATAATGACGAATCAGGGGCCAACATTGAGTCGAAAAATAAAACGATATTACAAGAAAACGGCTGAAAATCCGCGCTGGCAGTCCCCGGTTTTCTCGACAATCTTAAATTCGAGATTGCATTTTGCTTAGCGGTTAAAGGTCGGATAACTCCGCGCAATCACCATTTCGCCGACTGTTTTCGAGAAAAGCAGCGTACGTGAAATTCCCACCACGGTTGCGGCGTGTCCTATTAAGAGGGAGGAAAATGCACTTTTCTTGCCAATGTCGTCGTGACGAGTTTATTTCCGTTCTTTCCTCCTCCATCCATATCTTAAGCGCCGAAAAAACGTCCCGGAATGTTACGCAATTTTCGGGGGAAGTACTATTTAACAATAATTTTCGGAAGAAAGGATAGTTCCTGCAACGCGTAGCGAGGTTTTCGCTGTTCGTCCCGAAAACGTGAGAATCAAGAGACAAGGTCGTGTCTCGAGCCAAATGCACGCGCGAAAGAACGTCAAGTACAAATGATAAATCATTAACATTTCTCAATTTTATAAACACAAGTTTTTTAGCTACGTAGAACTTGCAGATAAAAAATGTTGAAAAAAGTGTTGTATTAAAGTAAAGTAATTAGTAATAATATTTTGGAAAAAAAATAAAGATTTACACAGAAAGTATTTGGCATATTATTTATTTGGCCAAGGAGTACTTTTATTTTAAAGAAACTTGCTTAAGAGTTATTCACATTCAAATCAAGATTGAATTATTTCATTATATGTATTTCATTACATAACTTAGAAATGCTACATACTTTTGTATAAATCTTTATTTAATTCCAAATTATTCTATTACTAATCATTTTACTTTTATACGTCACCTTTCTCATTATTTCTCACCTGCAAATTTTCATGTAGCTGAAAGAAATTGTATTTACAAAATTGAAAACTGAAGTGTTAATAATTTATTCGCACTTAGCGTAAACTTCTTGACATCATTACTTTTGTAATATTAGTAGTGCCGCATCAACACGAGTACAGTCGCCTTCGATTGTCATAAATTATTTCTTATACTTGATTGTATACAGTTAAAACTTCGTGTTTTATGTATTGTTAACGGATTAAAAGTTACAGTAGTTTTTATGGATAATTTTCGTTACGTTTTCTGTGACTGACAGAAGAATTAATTTTTTAGTAATTTCCAAGAGAATAATTTCTCAAGTAAATACAATATGAGTTACAAGCTTCATTGAAAAATATGTTGAAACACTTAATAAGTCGATTATATTTGACGAGACAAAATTACCATGATGCTATATTTATTTGACATTATCCTATTGTTTTTATTCTGTTCAGTGCAGAGTTTAATGAAATTCTATGTCCTTGATCTTTTAATGGTGATGTTGTATTTAATGACTAGTAATTAAAATTTTATAACTGTTTTATAAACAAATTTATGCGATTTGACTTTATAAAAGCAGGTTGCCTTCCGTTGAATAATAATTTGAACTTCCCACCGTCTTAGAAATTCTCACTGTCGATATGGTGTTGGTTAAATAAGGTTGATATTAAATTCTGTTTGTGTACGATGGTTTTGGAACAATTCATTAATTATTTCCTAGGAGATCCGGGTGAGTACGATAAAAATTAGTTTCTAATTTTTCTTCCCGAATTCTTTCAGCCTGCTTTTGTATTGTCTCCACCCTCTTGTCAATTACATATAACAAAAATTTTTAATACTACTATGATAAAAATGGTATCTGGACTTTATATTTTAAAAATCGCGGGTAAGCGGTGAATCAAATCCGTTTGCTTTTTTAAGTTGGTACATAGGTCCTTCCCATTTGACGAAAAAATCATGGCCTTCGTTCAAGCCGTTTGAGAGTGGCAGTTATGTGAATGAAGATTTTTGTGCATGGAGATTTTTACGATGTCGAAAAATATGGAGCAAAGAATTTGTTCGAAATTTTGTGTTGCAAACGAAATTTCGTTCAAAAACGCATTCAAAATCTTACAAAAAAATTACGACGATCATTGTTTATCGAAAACAAGTACATATGAGTGGTTTAAGAAGTTTCAAGAAGACCGAAGTGAACTCGCCGTTTGTAGTCAAACGTCAATGTCATGCTTACGGTTTACTTCAATCATCGCGGTGTTGTGCACCAGGAATTTCTTCCAAATGGTAGAAAGATCAATGGAGAATACTACTTGTCCGTCATGAGGCGTTTGCGTGAAGCAATTCGTAAGAAACGGCCGAAATTGTGGGAAACCAACTCGTGGATTTTGCATCACGACAACGCACCGTCGCATGTCTCGACATTTGTGTGTGAATTTCTGACAAAAAACTCAACGTATGTCGCTCCGCAAGCACCGTATTCACTAGATACGGCATCCTGCGACTTTTTCCTGTTCTTCCTACTGAAAGAACCACTTCGCGGACAGCGTTTCGAATCAATTGAGGACATCAAAGAAAAATTGCCGCGCACAAAAATCTTCATTAACATGAAAAACTGCTACTCTCAAACGGCTTAAAGGAACGCCATGATTTTTTCACCAAATGTGAAGGACATATGTATCAACTTAAGGAAGCGAACAGATTTGATTTACAGTCTTCCTGCGATTAAAAAAATAAAGTACGGATACTTTTTGATCGCAGTAATATATTTATTTATTTTTATGTTTCTCTTTTCCCCTCCTTTGTTGTTACATGTGATATAATGCGACATCTTAATATAATGAAGATATTTTATTATAAAGATAGTTCAAAATTATCATAAGGTCGTTGAATATAACAAGGCAAATCACGGGATAAAAGAAATTAATAATTATACCATTATAGATTCTAAATCATTATTTTGTAATATGCACGGATGAAACGAACTGTTCTATGATGTAATTAAAGAATTAAAGAAAAATTGGAATATTGAGTACCTTTACAGAAGGTAATCTCATTAACTCGAATTCTTTTCTCCTTTCAATTCTTTATTCGGGGAAATAACTCAGAGCCGTTAAATGAAATTATAGATATTTATACAAACATAATACGCATTCGTTAGTTCCGCCTAGAATTTCTCGCTTACCGACCTATAAGCAAGTTAAATACTGCTAAAAACAGTACAGTACGGTTGGAATACTTGAATGAAAGATTGCTAGACTTCGTATATAAAATGCATTAAGGTATTCCTTTTGTAGAAATTGTTTATTTTAAATCTCAAACTCTGTACTGTATTATTATTTACAGATCCAAAACTTAGAGAATGGCCGATGATGTCCTCGGGGTATCCGCTAATAATCATTACCCTTGGATATTTATATTTTATCTATATCGCTGGTCCACGTTATATGAAAGATAGACCGCCATATAAATTAAGAACCTTCATATTAGTTTACAATATATTTCAAATTTTAGCAAATGCCTGGATTGTAAAGGAGCATATACGTGGCGGATGGTTCACGGAATATGGATTCATATTGGCTTGGAAACCAGATATCGATAGTCCCAATGCACAAGTGGTATGTATTCGTATTGTATAAAATTTACTATTAATTTTCGATCAATTGTATTGTCTGCGAAATAATATAATAGAGTTGATGTATTAACTGAGGCGTAATATATATATATATATATATATATTTTTAGCTGACGAATGCTTTTTGGTGGTTGATACTACTAAAATTTTTTGATTACGTTGAAACATGTACATACGTATTGAGGAAGAAACAAAAGCAGATCTCCATTTTACACGTGTACCATCACATATCAGTTGTAATAATTCTCTGGACGACATTTAGATACTACTGGGATACGAGATTTACATTTTTGCCCTTAATAAATTGTTCTGTACATGTATTGATGTACACGTACTATTTGAGTGCTGCATGCGGCCCAAAGGTTCAACAAATAGTCGCTCCCTTCAAACGTTACATGACCGAAATGCAGATGGCAAGTTATATTATTACATTTTTTATATTTCGACCTCAATATTGTCATTAATTGATCGTTTTTTTCCAAAATGCGTTGCAATTTTAAACTATCTTATAAACGCATTATGCATTTTCTTTACATTTCAATTTGTTTTCTCTCAATCAGGTACAATTGCTTTTTTTGTTGGCATATTTGCTACAAGTTCTACATCCTTCCTGCGATCTACCACGTGGATATAGAATAGTCTATGCATTAAATGGCAATGTAATAATAATTCTGTTTTTATTTTATAATTTCTATAGAGAATCTTACGTTAAGAAAGAGATAACTAAACAAAAATCGTAATTAAAAAGCAACTATAATCGTATATGCGTGTGGGGATGGGAAGACATTAAAAAATGTCATAGAACTGACATACACATATATTTATTTATACATAATTTTCATAATCATAGATATTTACGAATGTAAATATCAATGATATTTAGAAATGTGAATATCAATGATTATGAAAATTATATATAAATAAATAAAGGTGAGAAAAGGGAACCAAGTATGCCTCGTTAATATATTGTTATTAGAAATAAATATGAGCGCGAGCATGGCGCACTGACCTGTTATATTGGATTTCCCGGGGTTCGCTTCTCGATAGTATTAAAAGTATTTTCATATGCTCGCTGGGTCTCCTCTCCGATGGACTGGCAATCCACCGAGAATGTATCTCTGTCAAAAACCTCAAGCGAATTGTCGTTCTGAATCGGCGTTAAAACTGTAGGATTCGCCCATACAGCTGTGTATTATCTGCGTGCGCACCACAGATATATAAGGGGTAATCCAAAAGTAATGATAAGCGGGTGGTGATGTGTGTAATATACAGAACCAAAAGAAAAAATATTATTTGGCTTTACTATACCCTCAGTAGTTCAGCAAAAAGAAATCGTAAATAGCACATCATTTGAATATGATCAGTCGAAGTAATAACACGAAAATGGAGAAAAATAAAGTAAGAGCTGTCATCAAATACACCTCTGTTTGAAAAAAAGTTCGCAAAGGAGATACACGCCGACTTGGTGGAAACACTAGGGGACTCCGCCTCTCCCTACTTCACAGTTGTACACGCTGGTGCAAGGAGTTTAAGCCGGGCAGAACACCCACTGAAGATAAACATCGCGAAGGGCGTCCATCCACGTCCCTCACTGAAGACAATGCCAAAAAAGTCCAAGATGTGGTGTTAGCAGACCAAAGAGGAGTGACCATAAGACATTTAGTTGAGATCACAGGGATCTCATACGGCAGCATTCAAAGGATCCTTACAAGTGAAATGCATATGAAAAAGTTTCCGCACGTTGGGTGCCGAGAATGTTGACCGAAGAATAAAAGCAACCCGCTCACAAGGCCGAAGTTGCGATGGCTGCCATCTGTGAGGCGGGCTTCGAACTACTTGAACACCCCTTATTCTCTAGATCTAGCTCCCAGCGGCTTCTGTCTCTTTTCTAGGCTTAAAGAACTGCTCTGAGGCAAGAAATTTGAAAACGATAGCGAGGTGATGACTGCTATAGAGGCATTTTGGGAGTCAAGAAAACGAATTCTTTTCAAAGAGTATACGAGGTTTAGAAAAAAGATGGACTAAGTATATTGACTTGTTAGTGGACTACGTTGAAAAATAAATTTAATTTTTAAACATACTTTGTTTCAGTTGTTCATTATCATTACTTTTGGTTCACCCTTTGTATGCGTGTGAGGATCAGACAACGTCGAAAGACGTTACAAAACCGATATACAAGTTAAGTGCTGGTAAAATAATACAGTATGGTTGTAATACTTTAATAAAAATCTGCCTGACTACCTGACTACAACAAATTCCTTAAAAGGATATTCCTTTCATACAGATTGTTGTTTACTTTACAACTCAAACATTGTACTTGTTGATGATTTTGCGTGTAGCCTCGGGAAGTCCACGATTGACGCAAACGAAGTAGAACCTCTAGTTTACTTTACTGGTTGCGAGGATGGTTACAGGCTCGTTATCGGATAGTTTTTAGCATAGCGCTAAGCTAAATATTTTAACGCTCTTGTAGCTAAATAAGGAGCAGCTACGGTGCCATAGGTGATTGTTATAAGTTCGTATATTTGCATGTCCAGTGAAGCGTCGCTTCGTCAGAGAATGCATTGCAGTCGTGCTTGTGCAGGATCTTGTCGATATATTTCGGTAATATCGGCAGTAAATGTGAATTTAAATGTCCGAAATCGCAATACAATTGAAAATAAATTTTGTTGAATTGTCGGGCCTACTCACAGGATATCGTTTAATGAGACTCCCGTACTGCTCTTACATGATCCGTCTTAAACGACTCTCAATTTAGTTGTGTCACCGGACAATTTCACCACACAATGATGTGGCAGGTAATATGAAGGCGAACCATTATCGTCGACACGGGCACATTGTGCAAGTGCATCGATTTCTATCAACCTCATATGTTCGAGTTCCAAGTATTCACGCATAAACTGCACATATTGTGACTTCAAAATTGAATCGCGCTCCAAACGTTTCTCTAAACTATAAAAACGACGCAATGCAATAGTGCGCGTGTCGCCAAGCAATTTTAATTTATCTTCCTTGAGAGGAAGTTTTACCATCATTCGTCCTTGCTCATTGCGGCGAACATTATCGACGAAGTGTTGTTCACAAAATTGTTCGCTAGCTGAATAAGAATAGTAACCACGAGGAAGCTTTTCTAATTGCCAAAAGCGTGACTTGATCTTGTAGATTAACGTTTGATAATGAGATATGAAAATTCTTAACTTCGGGGGTTTGTTCACGATCAGAATAATTATTTAGACTACCGGATATGACTCAACCAAACTGTGTTTTTTGAAGTGTTGGATGGTTTCGACAAGCTCGTATTTGACCGACGCAAAATAATCGCCAAAATAAATCAGCGCCTATCAGAACGTCGATAACTGAATAACGATGAAACTCCGGATCAGCTAATTTTATATTATGCGATATAATTGAATCCGTGCTCTGTTAATAGGAGTTGGTGATAATTGCTCGGTAATTCGATCTGTCAAAAGACATTCAATAATTGAAGAAAAATTGTTTGCTCGCGATTTCAATTCCAGCCGCACTACCTGATTCGCATGACTGCTTGCACCATTAATCCCAGCAATGTAAATGTTGCTCGGTTGTGAATTTAAATTTAATCGGTTGGCATATGAGCGCGTCATGAAGTTGGTTTGAGAGCCACTATCAACAAAACACGACAAGGTTGTTTTCTTCCGCTGCTATCGACAGCATAGATAACGGCTGTCGAAAGCAAAAACAGATTGATTATAACAGATAGACGAATGAGTAATAACAGTGACTTCTTTAAGTGCGATTTGAGAGAAGTCGGTTACTGAGTTTGTATCTCCGGGAATCTCCTTGACCTTCGGCGGTAAATAAAGAAACGAATTATGTTTATTGCCACATGTCCTGCGGTATGTGAACTTTTACATAATCAAATCGTGTAAATTTGATTATATAACTTTATAAAATGATATATTGATGTTTAATAAAGAAGATTATAAAATCTTCTTTATTAAACATCAATATATCATGGACGTGCATTACATTAAACTTTGCACTGAACAGAATGGAAAGAATAAGATTATGTGAAATAAATGCGTTACGGTAGTACTGCGTCGACAAGTATACAGTAGTTTGCCGATTAATTATTGCAATTTTTTCTGTGAATCTTATAACTCATATATATCCAATAGGAAAATATATATCTCTAGTGAATGACTAAAAAATTAATTCTCCGAAACAGGTATTGTAACTCTTAATCGGCAGACTGTATAGAAAATATGAAACACTAAATATAAGCAACCAAGTATAAGAATTAATTATGACAGGTTGTATACGATTGCCTTGGCGCGATTAGCAATACTACAAAATTTATGATATCAAGAAGTTCACGCAAAGTTTGAATGATAAATTATTAAAATTTTCAATTTTATAACATTTGTTGTATAAAAGTTTGTGTTTTATACAACGTCCTCAACATTTATTATCTGCAAGTTTTACGTAGTTAAAAAACTTATGTTTATACAACAAATGTTGTATAAAAGTAACGTAATTAGTAATAATATAATTTTGGAAAAAATATAAAAATTTACACAGAAAGTATTTAGCATGCTTTTTTATTTGACCAAAGAGTACTCTTGTTTTAAAGGAACTTATTTCAGAGTTATTCACAATCAAATCAAGACGGATTAATATATATTTCATTATACGTATTTCATTATGTAACCTAGACATGCCACATACATTTGTGTAAATTTTTATTTATTTCTAAATTATTTTATTACTAATCGTTTTACTTTTATACGACACCTTTCTCAACGTTTCTCATTTGAAATTTCTTATGTAGTTAAAACAACTTGTGTTTACAAAATTGAGAAAGGAAGTGTTAATAATTTATTCGCACCTAAGTGCTAAACGCTAACGTAAACTTTATGATATTATTATTTTTGTAAGAATAGTAGTGCCGCATCAACACGAGTACAGTCACACTCGACTATCATAATCATTTCTTATACTTGATTGTTTATAGTTGAAACTTCATGTTTTATATATTGTTAATCGATTAAAAGTTACAACAGTTTTTTAGATAATTTTGGATAATTTCCAAGAGAATAATTTCTCTAGTGAATACAATATGAGTTACAAGCTTCTTTGAAACATACGTTGCAACACTTAATCAGTCGATTATATTTGACGACACAAAATTACCGTGATGCTACATTCATTTGAAATTATCCTATTGTTTTCATTCTGTTAAGTGCAGAGATTAATGTAATTCTATGTCCTTGATGTTTTAACGATGATGTTGTATTTAATGAATAGCAATTAAAATTTTATAACGGTTTTATAACCAAATTTATACAATTTGACTTTATAAAAGCAGCTTCCCTTTCACTGAGTAATAATAGTGTATTTGGAATTCTGACTGTCGATATAGTGTTAATTAAATAAGGAGCAGTATGATATTAAATTCTTTCCGTGAACGATGGTTTTGGAACAATTGATCAGTTATTTCCTAGGAGAGCCGGGTGAGTACGATAAAAATTAGTTTCCAATTTTTCTTCCTGAATTCTTTCAGCCAGCTTTCGTGTTGTCTCCACTCTCCTATCAATTACATATAATACAAATATTTAGTACTACTGTGATAGAAAAAGTATCCGGACTTTATATTTTAAAAATCGCGGCTAAACTAAATCAAATTATAAATCAAATTCGCTAGACTTCGTATATAAAATGCATTAAGGTATTCCTTTTGTAGAAATTGTTTATTTTAAAT